TTGGGACTGCTCGTTTTGAAGGTTCAATTTGCCCTCAGGAATATTCGATTCCTATGAGAACCCCAATCAGTGCGGCACTTGCGGATCTATGAATCCATGGGGTATTCGATGCAGCAAAAACTTTGACCGTACTCAGGTTAGCCAAAGACTTATGGCTAGCATTTATGCGGCGTTTATATTGAACACATTCTTTGACAATATGCAAATGACTAAGTGTAAAGTAAAGACTCCGGGATGCAGCATGAGAAAACAACGTAGATCAAGACAGATTTGCTCTCAGAGAAGAATATTTCTTTTGGGACGCAGTGACTGGTGCCTAATGGCAAACCGTTTCAAAAAACTGTAAATTCAGCGGACTTTACAAACCAGATACATTCTGCATATGGAAATGGTTCAAGGTTATTTCAACAAGTAACAAATGGATAAAAATTTCATCCCAGTTTATGATATGCCTTAAAGGATAGCGTTTACCATTTAGAATGAGGATAAAGACAACATCGGTGTCTTGGACGACCGGTTATGAGCAAACAGGCTCATAATTTAAACGGTTTGACTTTGCAGTATATTAAAAAAATGTGAATTTTAGCTGGTACCTGCGCTTAGAGTCTTGCACCTTTAAGTTAATATGCGAAAACATTAAAAATCATGCGTGATTTAGAACGCTAAGCGTTTATATGACCCAATCAGCTAATATTCAGAAAATGACTTGCGTCAAATTTGCTACAGCGAACAGATTACTAGAAGCAATTGATTGATGCCTAACATTACAACAAATGTACTCATTTCTATAATTCCTCAGTTTTCTAAAACGATCCAACGTAATTTGCAAATGAAGGCTTCGGAATTTGCTACACATCTGGCACTAGTCTTTGAGTAGTACAAATTGGGTAATCCTTCATGAGATAGATTGGATAGTCAAAGATTTGTCTCAAACTTCAGCAATGGGAAAAAGAAAGAAATTAAAGCGGTAAGTAAAATCGAAAGCTATTTCTGTGACTATATCAATTGAAAAAAAACGTTAAATAGCCATAAAAAACTTTTGCAAAACATTTGGCAACTTTCAGAATTAGGAAGAAGGGATATTCCGTCATCGTTTCGCATTCTTTCGACCAGAGAGACTCATTTACTCCCAGCTTTGTCGATGGAGAACGGTCAGAAATCTACCTGTTATTATTGGTCCTCACATATCTGGGATAACTGACATGTATGAGGTACTTAATTTGAGTGAGATCTAATTACTTCTACTTTCTTTCTCTTCGTTACTTGTTCTCTTCGTGACTCAGTTTGTACATCCTTTCACTCATCTTCAGCTTTTTTAAGCTTTTATAATAATGGCATTCAGCTTCATAAATAATTGGTGAAGTTCTAGTATACTTCAATAATATTTGTGTAGTATATACGATCTTTTTGCTGGCAATTTTTAGAGTTTTGTTAAACAAAGCGACATATGATTATGTTATTTTTCTCAAGGACAGGTGATGGAAACGACACGCCTTTCATTTGACACGTTTCCTTCCCAATTCGAACGTTGTACGATTATTTCTAAGGCTATTACCTTTATTTCCTTTGTTGCTGTATCTACTGCTTTCGTCAGATTGCCCAGTTTTTTTCTACTTTTGCGATTAACCCACCATTTTATTCCTTGGCAGAGAACTGAACTTGTTTCAAATATTTTCTGCAATATCTCATCCATGCCAGCTTCTTCAATAGTTCTGTTTGTGTCATTCTTCACACAACCAACCAGCCAACAAGCCAGTTTCGATGACGTCTATTCTGTCGGGTGACCGAGGCAGCGGTGTCAGACGCTGCGCTGAAGACTGAAATTG